TTTTTTTGTATATATATTTTCAGTTGGTCAATTAATTTATTTCTATTTTTAGTAGAGACGGGGTCTCGCTCAGGCTGGTTTTGAACTCTTGACCTCGAGCAATCCACCCACCTTGGCCTCCCAGAGTGCTAAGATTACAGGCGTGAGCCACCACGCCTGGCTCAAGCAAAAGAATTGATTTCTTCAGCTAAAAAAAAACCAAAAAAAACTGGAGAGGAAATGAATATCTGTTTTATATTCCAACTTACATTTTCTTTATATTTTTCAATGTCTATTGTAAACAAATAGAAAATACCATCAAACAAAATCATAAAAAACAAATTAAAACATCACATCCTCACTCCTTGGTGATTACCACTGTTTATATTTTAGTGCATATCATTACAATTCTTTTTCTATATGTGTGTGCAAGCATATGTTTTTTTTACCAAAATGAGATTATAGTACACAGAATACTGTTCCCAGCTTTTTCTAGTCAATCATTCTCACTTTTCATTCCAGTAAATCTTTAGCTCATTTAATACCCAGAAAATACTCATGTTATCTCCTAATGGTCTTGGCCTTCCTTACCCCCCAGGTGTTGGGGAAGCTCCTGGTTACCCTCGATTGCTGGTGGTCTGCCTTTTCCTCTCTACTTGTCAGTCTTCTTATGTTTGCTTTGCACATAATCTCCAGGGATTTTTGTGCTGTAATTAGTAGGAAGACTAGGGAGAAGTGCATCTTAATCTTGAACCAGAACCAGAAGTGCTAATTTGTTTTTACAAAACATTTTTGTGCCTCTATCTATCTATCCACATACACACATACATATACATAGACATATATACACATAATGTGTGTGTATGTACACACCCACACACACACACATCTCATTATAGGAAATATGCCAAAATCAAAATATTATCAGTATTTCTCCCTGGTTGGAGATAGTATTTTAAACCCATGTCTTTTTTCCCCCTCACTACCTGACAATATGTAAATATTTAATCTGTCTCTAAATTAGATATCACATTATGATACAGGAATTTTTACACATGAGGTGACCTTGGACTCTTCAAATTATGAGTGAATTCTAAAGTTCATTTCCTACCAACCTCTCATCTTCTTCATACTCCACCAAAAAAAAAAATAATAATAATAAGTAAGGCACCATTATCTAAATTGCAGAGAAGATACTAGCTTAAGATTAATGGTTTGAATAAATACATTAACCTCTTATTAACAAGAGCAAAGAGAGAATGAGAAAGAGAGAGAGAGAGGGAGGGAGGCAGGGAGGGAGGGAGAACATGTGCGAACACAAGGCAAGTAAGCGCAAGAAGCAAGCATCTTTCTGTTGTGTAATCTGGGCAGACAACCAGTTTTAGATGATTTTAGAACAAAACCATGATTTTTTACTCATAATACTAGAGATTTTTCCTATTGTGGGATTATTTCCTCAGCATTCCATTTTAAGTAATTACTAATTTATCCATATATACTTTAACAAATAGCATCTACTGTATGTTGGACATTGAACCACCAGGCACTGGTGATATGGAAGCAAATGAAGCTTCTGGAGATTACTGTGGTGTAGAGCAGTGGTTATCACACTTTAGCACATCAGAATCACCTGAGAACTTGGTGAAACACAGAAATGCCGGGCCCTACACCTCCAGTTTCTGATTCAGTACCTTTGGATCGAGCCCAATAATTTGCCTTTCTAACATGTTTCCTGTGATGCTTTTGCTGCTGGTTCACGGACCACTTTTGAGAACCACTTGTATAAAGCAGATAACCAGATTTTAGTGTGCCTAAGAACCACCTATGGCATTGTTTAAATGATAGTTTCCTACATTCAGATCCTGAAGATTCTGATTCAACAAGTCTGTAGTAGAACCCAAGTATCAGCATTTAAAAAATCAACCCAGATGAGCCTTTTATGTATAGCTTGAGGAGCACACTTTGTTCAGGATTGGAAAATATTAGTCTGATGGTAGAGGCCCAGCATAGAATAAATAATCATATAAAATTATTTAATTTGAATTATAATAAGAACCAAAAGAAGTTCAGATGCTTTGAGATTTGATAGGTGAGCACAACGGAGAGGCTATTTAAGTTATTTTGGAGAAAGCAGCCAACCCAAGCATGATGAATGATCACCTTCAAACCTGGCCAGGAAAAGAAATATGAAGTGAAATAAATCCTTCATTATGCAATGATATTATGACAGCCTGTTACATGGTTATGAGTCTGATCTCTGCAGCCTAAATATCACTTCTAGTTCCATCAATTTACTAGCTATATGAACTTGGGCAGACTGCTTAACATTTCTTGGTCTTTCTCAAAAAACTATATGCAGTGGAATAATGAGAGCACATAACTAGGCAGTTCTATGAAGATTAAATAGGTTTGTATATGTAAAAAACTTATAATGATGCCTAGTGGGTAGAAACAGCTCCGCTCAATAGAAATGAGCTGTTATCTCCATAAGCAGCAGATTGGGATGCAGTTGTTAAGCAGCGTTGTGTTGCGTACTCATGCAGACGCTGCTCTAGGGAGTGCTCTGGCAGTCATTTAAAGCTCTGCCATCACACGCTTTCATACTGAGAAGGAAGAAATCTGGTAACATCTTCCTTCAGGGATAATAGTTCAGAGCAGGTGTCCAGAGGGCTTTCCAATGGTCACCTTCATTGTCAAGTCAAAAGCTATGGACTAGGCAGAGCCTGTGGATACTCTAAGGCTCCCAGAGCTTCCTCTGCACACGGCTGCTTCTGGGATTTCCTGTTTTTTTTGTTTTTTTTTTTCTTTGCAGTGATCAGTAGCCATCCTTTAAAATAAGTTTGTAATATCATCTTTGACATATAAAAGGAAGAAAGACGTAGGGAAACAGTGTCCTATTAGTCTACAGGCATAATTGGTTAAGAGATGCCCTAAGGTATGGGCATGGTGGTAGCAATTATGAATGAGAAAAAGGGGTTCTTCATCACAGAATGTGGGGAGGGAGTAGAGGTCCAAACCTCAGGGGTAGACAGGACCAGGGGTGCACCAGCATTAACCTAAGCCCTTCCCAGTGCACTGTAGGAGAAGGGGAGATCCCATTTGTGCTTACTGACATAGTGTCTGCTCTGCATCCCAGCCTCTCTTGCTATTTATTGTGTTGCCTGGCCCATGGACGGTGAGCAGAAGGAATGTTTGTCTCTTCAAGTGCATATGGTTAAGTACCCACTGTGCCTTCTGCATACTGTCTTCCACTGGTACGGTGACTAAGAAGCCAGGACAAACATGAGGCCACAAGGTAGTGGAGTGACAGTGGAAGAAATCTGAGTCTCTGAGCCAGCACTTGGGGGAGCCCTGCTTGACCATCACCAGTCTGTGACATGAGAGAGGAAGAAAACTGTTGTCAAGGCTTAGAGATTTGGACAGTATTTGAGATAGCTATTTGCCTTATCTGTTCTAACAAAGATAGAAATGACTGTGTTGTGGTAGAATGCTGCCATAAAAATCCCTAAAGTAGGAGGCAGTGGCTGAGTAGTTAAATGGCTACCAGGATGGAAACAGGTCAGAGGCCAGAAAGACAATGATACTTGTCACACAAAAAGGCAAAACATTTAACAAAATCGTTGCTTCTCATGACCGAGGGGGTTGACCACATATCTGCTGGCTCTAGAAAAAGTGGTTAGAAAGAATTATTTGTGTTCCTGGTGATCATCTGCCCTGGCTATAGTTGGCTACATGTAACCAGGTATGACTATGAAAAGTTGAGCTCCAGAAAGAATTTGCTGATGTATAAACAGACATGAGAAAGAATAGTAGATAGTAATAGATATGGTTTAGAAATGTACCAGTATTAAAAAAAGAAAAAGCATGAAATCACATTTAGAAATGCTAAAGCAATAAATGATCTCTCAACTTATTAATGTTAATAGTTAATAGGTTTAATAATAATAGTAAACTGAATTAGTATCTCATAGGGTGTGACCATCCCATTGATTGCTCCAGATGGCCTCAGGCTAGCAGCCATGAAGTTGAGAGAGGGAGAAGTATGGAAAGAATAAAAAGAAATATATGGACATGAGAAACTAGGAGTTTTATCACCGAGAACTCCAAGTTCCAGGGAGCCCCTCACTCCTGGCTAAGTCAGGAAGGTGGGTCACCCAGTGAAAAGCCCATGTCCAGGAAAGCACTTCAGGGAGGGTTGTCACTGGAAGCAAGTCAATCATAAGTCTACTCAGTTTTTGAGGAAGCCATATTGCTATAGAAACTACAAGCCTGGCCCCCAAAGCTTCTGATTGTTGAAGACTTAAATAGATCTTGGACCTCCAAACTTCCATGAGCAGTAGGCAGGCTTCAAACCTGGGTGGCCCAAAAGGAGAGTGTGCTCTCCAACTCCCACTTTGGACATGGAGAAGGAGAATTATGCACAGGGAGGCTCCTCGCAGAAGGGGCCAAGGAGCCCTGAGAGTGATGGACAATGGACTTCTGGCAGAGAGCAGGATCAGAACATAATCAGGGACTGCTCCTCACCCCACTTTCCAGTAGGAGCCCTTCCTGTCTCTGCCCAGGGGAATTCCTTAACTGTGATGGGCCACGTACTGTGGCATCTTGCCTTCCACTTTTTGAATGAAAGTAATCATTAAAGATATCCTTTCCCTGCACCACCATTGTACACAGGGTCTGGGAGGGGCAGATAATTTGTCGTTTTCGTTCATAGGCTGCCAAACCAGTAAGAGCTACAACTGGGCCTATAGAAAAGGACCCAGCATTGCCAGAAATCCCAGGCTTGAGCTGAATGCAGGGACTGGTGGGTCTCTGTATTGTGCCCTTGGAGAGGGGATAGATATGTTTTATGTAGCAAGAGCAAAATATAATGTCAGTATATATGTATAATGTCAGTGCCTTTGCTACATATCCAGCCTCCTTTGCAGCTAGGCTGGCCATGTGATGAGCTCTGGCCAGCCAAACATAGCCGAAGTGATATTGTCTACTGCTGGGCTGAGGTGGTTAAGTACCCATGTCTTCCCCACACTCCCCTCACCCCCATCTTCCTCCCTCAAAGCTAAATGGATAAGGTACAGGGCAACCTGGAAGCCACAAGAAGGAGCCACAAAATGGAAGGAACTTGGATGCCTGAGTCACCATGTGGAGAAAACACCAACCAGAAAGCTTCATCTGATCTTCATTTGGCTGTGATATGAGTGAGAAATACATTTTTTATTGTAGTAGGCCACTGATATTTTGAGATTGTAACAGCAGCTAGTATTAATTAGCATAATGCTTTAGGGAAATATATATTTGTTTATGCATATATTATTTATATACGTGTACGCAGATCACTGACTCATTTCTCCATTTTGTTTTCTTAACGGGCACCACATAGTGTGTGAGTTAAGAGAGGCGGGGATGAGGTGGGGGGTGCTTGGAGAGAGAAGACAAGCTCTTCTCTCTGTGCTTCTTTAGTGGTATTTAGTAAATTAACATTTCCATACTGGGCCATAAAGCTTGATGTAATTATTTCTCCCAACCCTGCCCAGAAGAAAGAAATCTCCAGTGGTACACTGGTTGGCACTTTGCTTTCAGGGATAGTATTTGGTAACTGGGCTCAGTGTAGTCCTCCTGGTCTGAAGAGAAAATGCTACACCCTACATCGAAGGATGTTCTCTCTTCGCTGCCAGATCCAGCCTGCTGTTTGTAATCAACTCTGAAATCTGTGCGTGGTGGTTGCTGCTTACGTAGGGAGCATGCCATGAAGTAGAAGAGCGAAGGTGAAGACTGCTCAGATGGCATGGTTTGCTTCTTTCTTCCACACAAGGACTCAGATTCTGGCTTCAGAAGGGACCAGCACCTTCTTCTCTCCCAGCAGATTGTCCTCTTATCCTTGGGTACAGAGGGAGAATATGGTCACCGCTCCCCCTCCCAGCCTCTCTCCTAATACTGGAGGCCAACTATGGGCCCTGAGCTTCCGATCAAGTGAAATTAGGTGTGTGATTGCATTTTATAATACTTAATGCTGAAATATGCATGCAGGTTGTGAGGCCATATGGCATAGAGGAAATCAGAGGTTTAGAAGTGAATCCCACTTGTTTTAAATCTTGGCTCCACCGCATCCTAGCTAGGTAATGTTAGGGATGTTTCTCAACTTCTCTGATCCTCAGTTTCCCCTACTATAAAATGGGACCAATAAGACTCACTCCTTAGGGTGAGATCCAAAGAAATAACACGTGAAGTACCTAGCTCAGTGTCTGGCACGTGTTGGGGCTCAATAAATAATGAGTTTCCTTCCTTTTCCTTTTCTACCCACATCACGTCCTCGGGGTAGAATACATGGATAATTCTTTCCTGTGCTCTGCCTGCCTCAGTACACTTCTGGATTTATGCATTGGGACTTCCTCAACTATGATTACATAAACTCTATAGCAAGTAGCTTTGGCTACGTTGGTATAAACTCCCTGAATGATGTCCCAGTGCTCCCGATCACTGCCGGCCATCAGATCAAGAGGAGAGAGAAAGCAGGCAACGGAATGGAAAGAGCACTGGGTGTCAGAAGACGCAGGTACAGATCTGCTTTCCAGCTGGAGCAGTGTTGGCTAGAGTAGAAATCCCTCTAAACCTCAGTTTATTTTTATGGAAAATGTCAGTAATAGCTTCCACAAAAAAAAAAAAAAAAAAAAAAAAAAACCTAGCACGAATATAAGGTACTTTGGTATACTTCCAGGATACCCTTTTTCTCTTATTGCCCAATTTTTCTATACTTCCAAGGTGGCTTGTGCTGTGCGTTGTCTTCTCCCAGACCCACGGAGCTTGTATATACGGTAGATGTTTTATCTGGGTCATCCATCGCTGGTCTCACATCATCTATCTTTGCTCCTGTCAAGAACGTTTTGTTTCAATGCATGCTACTTTAAAAGAGCCCCATCAGTTGAGAGAGCAGGGAAAGTCCAATCTTTCTGCAAGCTATTTTTTTGAACATTTGTTTCAATTCACCCATTCTCCCAATGGGCCTCAGACATCTCTGTTAAGGTTTAGTGAAGTCTCACCCCAGATCCGTGCTGGCCACTTTACAAAGAGAAAAGTCTAAAAGTTGACATAACAGATATGAACTACAATGCATGGATAAGGTGTCTGAGATATTGTTACCAGGGGAGTCATCTGTTTGAATTTTCTGACTTGACTTAAGAAGCTAACCACCTTGTTGTTTGTTTAAACTTGAATTCAATTCCATTAAGGCGTAACGTTACCATTGTCTCGCTTTTATGTTAACAGAGTTTTGTACATTTGAGACTATATTTTCTTACAATTGGGGGCTTTCGGACCCCTGCTTTATTTCACAGCTGTCTACACTTGAGGCCATGTTTTTGGACGTCTACTTTTCATTTTCCTGCCTTCTGCCTCTTTGGAACCAGTTCATGTTTTTCCTGCGAAGCTAGATGGAAGCTCACTTGGGGGGCAGAGTACACATTTCCGAGGAAGAACACTGCATTTTGAAAAGAGAGTAAAATAACATTATGGAAATCTTAAGTTCCAACTCTGTTCTGACTCATTAATTTTCTCTGTGTGTTACCTCCATGATCCAAATCATCTACGCGCCTTCAAACGGGCTTTGCTTTCCCAAGTTCCCTTTGGTTCCTCGGCACTTTCCCTCTGCTTCCCGGGGAGTTTTCCTCCATCCTTGGACTTTGACACAGTATAAGCTCCTCTTGTTCGACTCCTGCTGCTCCTTTTCTTTTTTTTCCACTTGGGTCTCCTGAGCTAAATGGATTCTGCACAATTTATCTCATGCCTTATTGCAGCTGTTACCACTTTGCTCCAAAAATATTTTCCACATATTCGATTACTTTGTCACTCAGGCTTATTGTTATGTTGACATATTATTCACTCCTCTGTCTCTTTAACTTAACGTTCTGATGTGCTGTACACAACAGCAAACACATTTGATGCCTTGAAGCTGCAGTCCTGTGTGGGGGAAAAAGTTCATTTGTACATTTTTCTAAGTGAACGCTTTATGAATCTATTCCATCATCATTGCATTTCTTTTGATTCTGTTTAAGAAGCAAAGAATGGTATATTTCTGGGGACTAGTGAAATTCTTTTATACCATGATATTCCAGAAAGAAAGAACTTTCCATTTATCTCAGTTTCCTTGCTTTACTTTCTTACTTATTTTCAAAGACTTTGTTCGGGCGCTGGCAGTATATGCCATGAAACTTAGCTGGATTTATTTTTAAATATCTTGAACCAGGGAAGCTTTAATCTCTCCACTTTGAGAACAGTTTCATATTCCATTAAGCTTTTACTAAGAGGAACTATATTTCATAAGTACCCTCAATTTTAATTTTCCTAATTTCATCCTCTTGTTTCTAGTTAGAAACTGGGGGGATTTTACCTTGCTCTTTTTCATAGAACTTTAGAACTGCAAGGAAACTTCGAGAATGCCTTGTCCATCTTTCCAAGTTTTCAGACACCAAAACTCAGAGTGGTTGAGTGGATTGTTGTCACAAAACCAGTCTTAGCAGAACTAGAACCAGAGCTCAGGTCTTTGGATTTCCAGCCCAGGGTTTTTGTCCTTTGTCATGTTCAAGGACACATCTGAAGCCTGGGTATGTGACTTCTTTTTAGCTTCCAATCCTGTTTTTTCATTTGTTACTGCATTTTCATTTGTTATTGTCTAAGTTCTGGGAACTTTCTTCTTAAAATGTGTCACTGAGATGTGCCTCAGGCTTCACAATGCTCTAATTGGTTTAATTCCCCTTTTCAAAGATAGGACATTTGAATAGATAAAGCCAAGAGGGACATTCATTGATTCATTCATTCCTTCAAGCCAGGACTGGCATCATGTTCAGTCTTGGTGGTTCTGAGGCAAGCACCTTCCTTTTACTCCAGAGACTCTTCATAAATATTTGTGGAAGAAATGAATGAACAAAAAAAAGTCTCTTGTTTTACTACCATGTTGTGAACTTACCTGTAAGTCAGGTAAAAGCAGAAAAAAAAAAAGATTTACTGCTATCAGTGAAGATGTAATCTTGAAGCTGAAAACACAGGTAGGAAATGACAATGTAAGAAACCATATTTAATTGCCAGAATGAAAGTGATATAAAAGTTTATAAATGAAAAACCAATATAACTAGTGCCTATAAAAATGTAAGACATGTGGATAAAGTAAACACCATTATATGTTGTAGAAAATAGGTAATATGTCTTGGGTTTGAAAAGCATATCTTCTTGACAAATTTAAGAAATGAGAAATAAAGGGAAAAACTACTTTCAGCAGAGCAAATAGAGGAAAAACACCTATAACCTAGAGACTAGAGAAAGCAGAAATTGATTTAATAACTTAAGTGCATGTATAATTTTTAATGGTTTTTAAAAATGTAAATCATTTTATTCTGTGGGTTTTAAGAGCATCTCATGAATGTACCTTAAGACTATGGTCTCACTGTTGAGACCTTCTACCATGTAGGGCAAACAACTTTCCAATGAACTCTTTTATTATAAACCAGATTCTTGTTAATTCTTAGAATTGAATTGGTAGAAAGAGGGCAAATGTTTCTTTGCTATTGATTCAAAACATAAGGTAACCACTTAACTCAGTAACTAGTTGAGGTACCTTAGTCACATATTAAGCATCTCCTAAGATAAGACTGAATATTAAATAGCATCCATATGGAGGTTTGCCCACCTTTGGGGTTTGAACTTAACGTTATACCTGAAAGTATTAGCACTTTCCCTCTGTGGACTTTGACTTCATTATCCCCACATGACAAATGAAAATTCTGTTCCAAGGCCTGTTTCTCCTTGGGAATAGAGAAAAGGCACTGGACTGACTTGACTGCAAGTCAGGGCTCAGTGGGGATGGTTCATCTCTGCTCCACCTGATGTTGACTGATGAGGCTTACCTGGGGCTGGAAATTGGCCTCGCTCCCATGTCTGGAGCTGGTGTTGGCTGTCAGATATGGAGTCCAAAACCACATCTATGCTTAGCTGCTTTTTCTATTCTATCCTGCTTCCTCATCTGCTTAAACGGACTCCCTTCTCAGGCTCTGCTTCTGGGGAGCTCAGCCTAAGTCCCTGGGCCTCCATGTCCTTACCTGTCCATGAGAGAAGGATTCCAGCTTTGATGCACCAGGCTGGAATTGGGTGAATTATTCTCCTTGGTCCCATCTCTCTTCCTCCCTGAGTGAAAGTGGAATTTTCCTTCAGATCCTGTGATCCAGAAGGTTGATGTGTGGTAGAAAGTTCACAGCTTTTCAGGTCACACAGACATCAACGTACTTGTGGCTGTGGGACCTTGGACCTGCTATTTAATTTCTCTGAGCCCCAGTTTATTCATCAGGAAAAGTGGAGTGATCTGCATCTATCTCAGAGGATTGCAATGAGAATGAACTGCAATAATACATGCGCAGCACAAATAGACAACCTGGTACATAGAAGCTGCTTAATGAATATTATTTCTTTTCCCTTCTTTTGCCAAAAAGACTCCATACTTATGGGACTTTAATACGTTCCCCATTGGGACTGAACAGATCACAAATCTCAGTACGATGCATTTTCTCATGATGCGGCTTGATGTGTAATATTGCTTAAATGATGTCCTTGGAGAGGCGGCTAGAGTGAGTTGGTGTGAGATGTCAACACCCGAGGTCTGACTTCGCCTCCTAACCCAGGGCTATAGTAAGGACTCAAAACCCATTATTCTCTAATGCTTAAAGAAATAAAAATTATGTAATTCCAGCTGTTTTCCCCCCAAAAATCATAAAATTAAATAATGAAAAATAGACAAGAAAGAGGATTTCTACTTTTTTTTCGTATTCATTAAAAGAAACACAGAGACTATCAGCCACATTCTTGCTTCAATTTAGGCTGTGCGGGATTAAAGTCAAAAGCTGTTCATGGTGAGGTGCGGTGGCTCGCATCTGTAATCCTAGCACTCTGGGAGGCTGAGGCAGGAAGATCACTCGAGGTCAGGAGTTTGAGACTAGCCTGAGCAAGAACAAGACCCTGTCTCTCCTGGAAAATAGAAGAAAATAGCTGGGTGTGGTGGCACACACCTGTAGTCCCAACTAGTTGGGAGGCTGAGGCAGGAGGATCTCTTGAGCCCAGGAGTTTGAGGTTTCAGGGACCTATGATGGTGTCACTTATTCTTAAAAAAAAAAAAGAAAAGAAAAGAAAAGAAAAGCTATTCAGACTTCACGTTTGAACTTCATTGAATGATTTACCTATTTGCTCCTGAGTCACTAAAAGCTCAAGACTAAACTTTGCAATCAAAAACCACAAATTAGTTCACTTATTTTACTGTCAGTCTCTCAGCTTGTATATTCACTAACTGATAAGCCCCTTAATTCTTAGGTTCTTAATAGTTTGCTAATAAAATGTGAGCATGATTTAATCCTTCCTACAGGTAGCAAACCATAGTTACATTTCAGTGAGGGTTTACATTGCATGACTCCATGCCTGAATTCATCCAATTTTTGGTAGCATTGTGAAGGATGGGCTTTGAGAGCTATTTTCTATAATACGTCTCTTGGAGATACTGCTTTCTCACTCACATGGCTTGCCTGCCAATTTGAGTTTCTTTCCTTAACTAGAGAACTACAAATGCTAATTGATCAATTAATTTTATGGTGAAACCAGCATGAGATTCTCAAGAGCGTTCCAGAATCATTTGTTAAGCACCATGCTTCACACACACACCAGATAGCAACTTGAGCCAACTTTCAGAGCATACCCTTACACTCCTTGGAGAGATGCTCTATGCATGCAGTGACTGAAATTTCATATAGATCTAAGAAATAGCTTCAACAACAGAGAATTTATCGACTGGGGGAAGTTTTTGTACACACTATACATTCTTCAATCCATAATTTAAGGAACCTACATGATCCTTAACTTTGATCTACTTTAAAGACAATACATAAAAATAAAACAAAAGGGAAATGATATATATTTAGCTTCATTAATAATCAAAGAATTACTAACTAAAATAGCTCTACAATATTTCTGTTCACCAACTTGGAAAATATAAATTATCAAAGGGGATATGTAGAAATGAGTACCCTCATCCAATTCTGATATTGGTAGAAATTAGGACAAGCATTATTGAGGCCGGTTTGGCGATCTGTGTCTCAACCCTAAAAAGATGTGTACCTTTGACCCAGTTCTACTTCTAATAAAAACCCTAAAGAAATTATTAGACACATGCTCAAACAATCTCTTGGCAAATATGTTTTGGAATTATTATCTTTAACAATAAAAACTGAAAATAAATCACAAATAATAAGAAATTAGTTTAATAAACTATGACACTCCAATTCAATGAAATGCTATATACCTGTTAAGGATGATTTTTAGAAGACTAGATGACAAAAATATTTGTAACAGGAAAAAAATTACATAAGAGCAAAGCATGGTGGCCATTTTATTTAAAGTAAACAGAAACTGTGTTTATTTTGTGTAGATATTTTTATGTGTGTATGTGAATATGCATATTTATTTATTCATACCCATGTGTAACACATTATTTCTTTCCTAGACAACTGTCACCAAACTGGTCTGCCTGCTCCCACTGTGCACCACTCCAGCCAATTCTCCACCAAGCAGCAAGAGTGACCTTCTTAACCAGAGCACATTACTGCCATGCTAGATCTCTGGTAGCTTCTTCTAGAGCTTCCATTTAGAATAAAGCTAAACTCTTTCTTTACCAAGACCTCCAAGGCCATGTGTGCTGTGACTTTGTTCTATCTCTTTGGTTTTAACTCACTAATTCTGTTTCTACATGAACAATGAATGGCATTGTATGCAAAACTGCTCTGATGAATTGAGCGCAGTTTCAAGCTGCAGGTGTAGCATCCTTCAGGTGTGTTAAGTTGGAGATGGGCAAGAATGTTTGACAATTAGGACGCAACCCACATGGCTCACCTCTATCACCAAGGACTCAGAGATGACCTGGAGTGGGGAAGGAATGGCAGTGCAGGGAGAAAAAGAGAGGCCACAAATCTCACCATCTCTATTCTCAATTTGCTCCTCTGGAATTGGCAGGCATGTCAGGGGGATTGTTAAAATCAGATTTTAAAGATCTCATGCGTCTGCTCTCAAAATGAAGCCTGGAGCAGGCTCCTTAATATAATCTTTCTGCTACAGGTAGAATCTTATTTAGCTAATATTATTTCTATTTCCACAAGTTCCCTGACATTACCAAGTAAAGCATTAAAAAGAACAAGGTGTCATTTTGTTTTTGTTTTTCAATGCTCCATTTATTCTGTTTTTCGGGCTTTTTGTGCATGCAAGACTATCTCATTGAATATTTGCAAAATAAGAAATGTTGAGAAAGTTAGGAGTTTTATTTTTTCTCCTTTTATTGAAAATATTTGTTATTTTTCTGATTATAAAAATAATACATTTGGTGTAGAAGTTTTAGAAAATAAAGAAAAAATTAAAATTTCTCATAATCTCACCAACTAGAAATAAACACACAGGCATATATAATTCTAGTTACATATTTGTACCTGTATGTATTTGTGTGTGTGTATACACATACACATACATATTCATACACACATAATATACATTCATGTGTGTATATGTGTGTATATATATATATAAAGTGTGTGTGTATATATACATATATATAGGCTCATGTGTAGTGTATATATTCAAGTGGGTTTATGTGCATATGTGTATATATACTATATATGTACATATATCAAAATAGGATTATGTGAATCCATTACAGTGACTTCATATTTAATGGATGCAACAGTCTTCATAGAGAAAATCCAGCCAGTTCCCATGATTCTAAGTCTCAAGCTTGATTTTTCAGTCTCTCTTCAACTTTCTCACATATTCCCAGAAGGGTCTTTCCCTGGCCTTCAATTGTAGTGAATGACACACACAAGGGACAAATGCCCACCCAGATATTGACATCTGAGGCCAACCTTTACTTGGATAAGCCAGAAATTTGGCTCTAGTCTCAGCCAAACTAAACATACTCCAGAATTTCCAGCCTCTGACATCTTCCTTTCAGTTCACCTTCACCCTAGACTGTCTTCCCCACCCATTTTTGTGTGTGTGTTTAAATCCCACCTATCTTTCAAAGTCTGTCTCAGGTGACACCTCTATGTGGTTGTCATCCTGGTCTGCATTCCCATACCTATCCTTTGTAGTTCTTATATAGGAGTGGTGGCGTCTGTTAGTGCCAAGGACTTCTCTGCTTGCCTTGCCTTCTCCTCCGAGACTCTGGCAAGAACCTCTTCTGCCCCTAAAGCATCACCAGCTTAATGGATAGGGGAAGCCAAGCCTCCATATGCCAGGGTTGACTTTTTTATGTATAAGCATTACCTGCTGTATTTGATCTTGGGATGAAAGGAGTCAGGAAAAAGAATTTCCAAGGAGGGAGACAGAAGGAGTTTCAAGATCCACACTGCTAGGGAGGGCTAAGTACCCACTCAGAGACAGAACCAGAGAGCAACACACAGGTTAGTGTTTGTCTCTTTCTTTTATCCTGGCAGATATAACAGGAGAAATACCAAAGGGAGTCCACTAGCTTGAAATAGATAAAGAAAAATTTTGTGGCTTCCCATCCTTTGAATAACTGGAAAAGGAAGAAATTTGTCATTGGAAGCACCAATTGACTAAGCACTAGGAAATCGTCAGCCCTAATTGTTAGTACTAAATGCTTAGCATATGTTACTTCATTTAATCCTTAAAAATACACATGGATCATCATTAATCCCATTTTAAAGATGAAGTAACTGAGGCTCAGAAAGGTTAAATAGCTATCACAGTGTTTTAGCTAAAAGAAAGCAGCAAGGTGGGATTTGAACTTAACTTTATAAGCTCCTAAACCCCTGGTCTTACTATTTTGTTACACCATTTCCCAGTGGACATGGCAGTGGTAGAGGTTTGGCAATATTTCCTAGGAAGAGGAAGAAATGGAGGTAATTAGATCCAAGAGAGGCAGTGACCAGCCTGGAGCAGGACACCTTCTTTGCTGCAGTTCTGGTGAGTGTGCCTGCCTTTGTGTGTGTGTGTGTGTCTGTCTGTCTGTCTGTGTGTGTGTGTGTGTGTGTGTGTGTGTGTGTGTGTGTGTGTGCCGGGGAGGACCAGGTGGAGGAGTCCCCATAGCAGCTCTGCTCCGGTGCTGTATCAAGAAACACACCTGCTACCTACTTCTTGAGAACATGGCCCAGGACACACTGGCCATGGCCAGTGAGAAGACAGTTTGGGACTCAGTTGGACCCACTGACAATTGGCCACTTCAACAGGAAGAGGGACTCTGGCCAGGAAGACAGGGGAATTGGAGTGTCACTAATATAAGGGAGGTGCCAGCCCATACCTGAGCAATGAGTCATTGACAGTATGGAAAGTTGAGGCAGGGAAAGAGCCCCAGTCCCCAGGAAGCTGCTGGGGACAAGAGTCTTGGGGGAAAGCTTTTTTCTCACACACAGTTGGTGACAGGTGGAGCTTCAATAGCTGTTTTTGTGTCATTCTTACCATTAAACTGTGCTTCTCGGGCCTTGACTTTTGAGTCTCTTTTGCTGACAGGGTCTACATAAATATCTCTATCAAAATAGGGTGAAAACCCCTGACCTCCACAGGGTTTACTTTGGAATATAAAAGAATAAAGATTCCAGTGTGGCCCCAGCTGTCTGCAGCAGCTTATGCCTATAGTCACTGTTAGGGGAAGGAAAACCTTGATCTGAGCCCAGCCTAAATTTGATCAGAGATTTTGGAAGCTACCAAAGGAAAGCTAAAGTGGGGAACCAAGAGACTACTCATTGGTTTCAGGAAAGCATAGTAATAATTCTTTCACCATAAAACAGAGGACATCTAACACAAGATGGCAAAACACAGGAGGCTAAGTCACTCTACCTAATAAATTAATAGGAAATTTGAATTTTTCCCTTGGTCAGCTGACATGATCAGGATTTGTGACCCTGAGACATGGAGGAAAAGGAAGACAGGAGACAGATCTTAGTGGAGAGTAAAGTCCCCTGGGGGTCTGGGGTAGAAACAGCTGCCAGTAAGGGTGTCTTTATAATTGTGAAAGTTGGTGAAGCTAAACAATATCAGTTTATGGTATTATATTTAAGTTTTTTTCTTGTACTGTGTTTTTGTAGCATACATGCATTTTAGAAACTATAAAGGCAAATGTGCAAAAAAGAATCTTTCATTTTTTTCTAAAATGAAAATTAATATTTTTTTCGTAAGCCTCTATCTCACCTGAGGCCAGAAATTTAGTATTATTCAATTTTGTAATCAATATAGGAAAACTGTAGTTTCATTATATCTCTTCTCTCCCTAGCTTTCCATTTAAGTTTCAGGAGACTTACAGAGCCTCAAACCATCTGGAGAGTAAGGACATTGCATCCATTAGGATTGCATTTGGCTGTAAATAAGAGAAAACCCAATTAATCAGTGACTAATAGTAATCAGAGTTGCAGATTTTCTCATATAACAAAAAGACTAGGGTCAGAGAGTCTTGGTCTGATATGATGGCTCCTAGATGCCATTAAAGACCCAAGCACTTCCTATGTTTTTGCTCGGCCATCGTAGGCAGGAATTTTGTCCCCACACATGTCTCGTGGTGGGTACTAGGCGTCTGTTCCACCTTCAACATCTTGTTTTCATTCCAGGAAGAAAAAAGTGCAAAGGTCAAAGGGCACATATTGTTAATAGCTGAGTCAGAAGTTTGGGGAAATTTTTCTCAACTTCTGCTTACATTTCAGTGGCCTGAACAAAGTTAGAAAATGCAATTTTTTTTTTAACATTGCAAAACAAAATGGTTACCTGGTGGCAACAAAGAAGACGTAATGGATAATTAGGCAGGCAACCAGCAGTGCCTTTCACAAACATTACACTTTGTCTGCACCAATGTCTTTTGAGATACAGTTTCTCCTCAAGTGCTTAGTTACTGGTCTCTAGTTTCACTGAGAATTTCTTCCCTTTTTCTTGAGACACAGTGGTCCAAGATTATAATGGATTTATGCGGAAGACTGGGTGGATGGAAACAACCCAGTCGCTGATTTGGGTATCTAACACAAGAGGAGATACAAAGGCTCCATTTCAAAAACTGCCTGTTTAATGAAGCCCTACTAGTGTCTCAGCCAGCCTCTGCTACCGTTACTTTGGGATTCCTGGGTGCTCCAGCGACATTTGCAATTTACTACACGCTAGAATAGAACTAAATCCCGTGGAAAACAAATTGCCTGCTACTCTCAGATAACTTTTAGTGTTTAATTAACCCCAGAACCTCAAACAACACTCTGTAAATTCTCTGTCTTTGAACAGCAGAATCTTGATGATGTTCTTTGCTTCTGGGGTGTGAGGTCCTTTGGTCAAAGAGACAAACTCATCACCTGGTTTCTCCAGCTACCAAAAAGCAGGTCCCCAGATAATTTACAGATAAAATAAGGCCCGTTTTTTTTTTTTTTCTGCCTTCTGTCAAGATCAAAATCTGATTTGAAAAGGAATAAATTACCATTCTTCCCTAATGATTATCAGTCAGCACACTGCCCCAGACAGTCTTTAAGTTACCGTGTGTGTTATGTCAAAGGAATACTCTGGGGTGAATAAGTTTGCCATGTGTTTCAGGAGTTTCTCTTGGTTAG